TCCTACTGAGTGTTACACATAGCATGGAGGTAAAAAGAGAAGGAGTCACAGCCAAAATAATCCTCCTAAACTTCTTTTGTTTTAGACAAGTTTAATCCCATAATTCCCTTTGTCTTATCGTCCTTTCACCCCAGGATCGTCGCCGACGCGTCATTTACTCTCAAGCGTTGCTGCGCACAGTACACATTCCAAGGTCTTGTTTTACAGTGTCGCAGTAAATGTCAAAGGACATAAAGCATGCGCAAATCTTTTATACGTAGAGGAATCGTGTTTGTGAGAACGGGAAAGTTGGAATTTTGAAAATCAGAGAATTTCTTGTTAAGTTTATGTAATTTTTCTTTTTTCAGCACATTTTCCGTTGTAATTTTGAATCAGCAATATTGTAATGTTTCGAAACCCTGCTAGTACTGTTTTTAGTCCACAATAAAGCTCGTTTAATGATCTTTGCAATGGTGCATGGCATGGACCGCACCGCGTTGTACCAGAGACTGAATTTTGAGGTTCGAAATGACGCTTTTTGAAGTTTATATCCCTTGTATGTCCTACTTCCTATGGCAGTGCGTCAACAAGAAATTCGCTGCATTTTTTGTTTTCGAGCAATCATTTTGTTCTCAGCATATGGAAAACAATTTTTCGTCTGTAATATGCTCTTCGATTTCGTTTACGTCTTCTGAATTGAAGGACATAGCAGTTTCAGCATCGTAGTCAAACTTGTATGCGTTATCGATCATCGCCGTATTTGTTTATAAGAATTTGACAGAATTGTCACGAAAATCACCGAGTGCTGCCGAAGGCGTCCGTAGTATGCTAATTCACGGTAATCCTCACTGCGCTAAGAGGAAACTGTCCTACTTGATCCGTTCGGCAAATAAACTCCCTGATCTATGTACAAACAGCGGCGACCATCCTGGTACCTTTGATCTAAGCTTGGCTGTGACTCCTTCTCTTTTTACCTCCATGCACATAGCAATCTATTGCTTTCAGTGTAGCTGCATTTATTACATGTATAGTTATGCTATGGTATGTTATGTTCTAAGATGTACATGCATCTACGTCACAATCCTCTAAACATGTCCAGGACCTACATGTATCACAAATAAAAAAAGACAAAGCTTTTGCGGACTACTCCTTTTTCACCATGCTAACCCGGTGTCCCACTATGCTGATGCAAATATCCTTTGTCTTGTTCTGACCTCCTATTGCAGACGATCTTAGAAAATCCCAATGCATCAAGTTTCAACATAGTGTCAATAACTAAACTAGTGAAAAAATAAAAATAAAACAGAGAAGAGATCTCTTTGTCTTTGATAAATTTCCTGTACTTGTCTGCATATTTCATAGAAATAACTAGGGTCACAATGGGAGGTACAAAACCATTAAATCCACAAAGGCAAACAGGATATGTATAGAATGTTATGTTATGAATCCATAGGCAACTGAATACATGCCAATAATATTGATATTTTATGAGCACAGATCATATTACATGATGGATGTCACAGACCACACAGATATTTGCTGTCTTACCAAACTTTGTATGTCAGTTACAGCAACAGCAAATATTTGATATCTCTGTTGATTTTATATCATGTGATAACAGCACATTCTAATTATCACATTTTGTATGGGATCATGCCCTATACCTTTCTTAGCATGTAAATATTGACAAATCAATTTCAAAATTATGTTTCATAAAGAATGTTGGTATTGGTATTATTTGAACTTGATGAAGTTCAAATGTTATGCATGATTTCCACATCCTAATAAGCGTTCCCCATCTAAATAGAAAATGCACTATAAGACATTCATGCTACACTATACACCAATATTTTTATAAATTATTAAAAGAAAGTACCGGTACTCATTAGAAATAAAAATATTAAACATATCGCTCCCGTTCTGTAACTTTTTAGAGCTAAGTAATTTATTTAGTATACTAGAGCGGAAATATGGGTTGTCCAATGTTTGCTATCATACATGTACATTCCAATTTGGTTTGCTTGCTTGCAAGCTCTGTTTATATTACCTTATTGTTGTATTTTTACTATCGTTTCAGTCATTCTTTGAACGATTATGTTTAACTAAATATTGCTACACTACAGCAAGTTATTATCAACATTGTCGGTAAATGTACAGCAATTGCTTCCAATGTTGTTAAAGTTGTTTTGCTACAATAAAGTTTGTTTTGATACATTCGCGATGCACCCATACTTCAAGTCGCTGTTTCACTGTCCAATCACGCACTCGTTGACTGTGACTGTCACATTCACAGCGCAGTAAACTGGGATTCCCGACTCCACCTGCGATTCACGAAAAGATAGTTGAGCTGTATTTAGAAGGAATATCTTTTGCTGACATAGCGAATAGGGTCGGTGTGACGAAATCTACTGCGTATAATATATGCAAAAAATTGTCTGAGTCCATAGTGGATCTAGCAACCGCGTGTGTGTCCAAGTGAAAGTCTAGTTTTATCCGCTTTATCAGTAGATAAGCTGGCAGTCGGTTCACACGGTTGGTTTTCATTCTGTTTCATCATAGGTGATGACCCATCCAGAATGAAGTTTTGCCTTTAATATGCCTTCTGGTGTAGTTGAACGAAGATTGTCGATGACCAACTGTTTGAATCGATGGTTTGTCGATAAATCCAATTTATGATTTTCTTCGTCCATAATTTGAATGTAAAGTGTGTTCATTCGCCGTAAAAATGGTGTCTTGCTAGTGAGGCAGTCAATAAAACTTGTAATCGAAGTCATCACTATAAAACTCAGCTTGTGATATATATATATATATATACATATTGGTATAATTCTTGTATCCCGATAATAAACAAACTCTACTTTGAATAAGTATTCTGCCATGACTGTCAGTCCGATCAGGTCCGAGTTGAAATGTGTTGTGGGTCCAATGACAGCGACGACTAGAAGTCTGGGTGCGTCGCAAATGTATCAAAACAAACTTTATTGTAGCAAAACAACTTCAACAACATAATAGTTTAAAGAATGACTGAAACGATAGTAATGCTTTCAACCTCCCTTATTGTTTACATGCACACTTTAAATTCAAAATCTTGCAACATTACTATCTTTGCTTAAATCAAAGATAATAGAAAGATTCCAAGAGATGTTGCTTTGTATGCATCTTTTTTTATTGTCTGCTTAAATGGATAATATAGTTATGGGCAATGGGGTCCTAAGAACTCTTACCAACATGTAACAACATTACTTTTTTCACAAAGCAACAAACTCTGGATTACTTGCACATAGTTTGAAGGGTACATGTATATGGTAAATTTATTTTCCAGTACTATGAAAGATGTCTGCTCTATACAAGACAATAAATGTGAATATAGAGTACATGTACTGCATAAATCACTGTCAAAAAAGAACAACTTAGTTCACATACCAACAGGGGTCAAGTGTCAGAGGTCAAATTAGGAACAATACAAAACAGCAAAAAGTCTATAGGTCAGTAATCAACTGAACACAAATGTGAATTGAAGTGGAATTTAAGACAAATCACCCCAGGGTTATGTTTGCATTCTTTCGGTGAAAACGTGACTCACTCAGCAAGTATCATTTCTTTCTAAAAAAACTATTCACTTTTTTAATGATGTTATGCAAATATATCCTATGTGTGTACGTACACAACCATACAATAAATAAAGGATGTCAATCATTATCATAATTCCTGCACTATTTCTATTAAAATTAATTATTGAATATCTAGATTGCAACAACTCAGATAGTGGGTGATGCATACCGTATCTTTGAAACTTGCATGTATTTCCAATTTTGACTATTCTCATAAGCTCACATACAATGTATGTGATCTGAATATGCAAGATGTATGCCAAAGTTCATAGAGCAATGTCTACCCAATCAAAACACATTATTTTTTTCCTGGAGACTCGAATAATTACAAATTTACATGCTGTCAGTATTGGCAGACAACATTTACCTCAGAAATTATATTTGAACTGGGTAGAGATTAAAAAAAATCTAAAGTATTCATGATGCATATAACATAAAACTAGCTTTTCATGAAGTTAAAAGTATTACAACAAAAAGTTTTACTAGTAACTTTGAAATATAATACATGGGCATGATAATTCAATCTAATTCAATCCTGTAATAATTTATTAAGTCAATGCTAATTGTCTGTGTTGTGAACATTATAAATTTGTCAGTGTTTTGTCCGGTGCTATATTTAACCGAAAAGAATCATGCCCTTTCTGAAGAACCACAGACAGGAAGCAATCCCTAGATGGTGCGTGTTGACATTATGTGCACTGTGTTTTCATTGTAATTATATCCTAGAAGTCTATTTACTCCATATTTAGGTGTATGGGAAATAGGGCCACAAACTTAGACTAGTTTGAATGAACTATTATCATTATCTAGTAATCTACGTTCCTCACTATATTTAATATTATTATTGTATATATTTTCTGGTGAAATAAAGAATACAACACAGTAAAGTCAAGTCAACAGAGTCACCTAAATTTGGGTCACGACCCATTGTGCAAATAAATGAATAATCAAATATTTTTAGATGTGACAGTTTTAACCATAGAGGGGGGGGGGGGACTGACTAACTTTAATTACTCATTATCGCGTCTGTAACAATACGGAGACGCCCAAATTAATCACTCTCACACGCATACTTTGTTGGTTCATTCAGAGCAACCCTCCGTCTACAGGATGTGTGGGGGTCAGTGATGTTATTGTAAACGCATCAATTGCAAAAATATACAATTACAATGCAACGAGCAGAGACTTGGACCCAGAGTTAGACGGCGCATTTTAAATGTACAATTACAATGCAACGAGCAGAGACTTGGACCCAGAGTTAGACGGCGCATTTTAAATGTAAACACCACGTTCACAAAGTTATAAACATACAACTGATTGTATGCATATTTATGAATGGTATAGTGATATAACAGATTACATTGACAAATGTCAAACAAGCTATTGTCGAACACTCCGAATAATACTCACCTTGAAAACATCGAACTGATCTAACGGTGTGATTTCAGGAACTTCGTCGGACGAGGACAATTTGCCCAATTCTTGGATCATCTGCGTCATTTTTAATTAGTTGTTGGTCGTGCCGGCAACAACGAAGGATGGAGAACAAGTAAACCGGCCAGGTTAGTTTACGAAAACACCTCATTCAAGTCATTCCGAATAAATCATTGCAGTACATACTGATGAAGCAGCGATGGCGACCTGACGAACACACCTCATCATGTTGAAATATCGCTCAAAGTAGACGTACGACCGATATTCCAATAGTTTGTGGATCAGCGTTTACAGTGAATATCAGGGTCGCTAAGCCGTCATAAAAATATCACAATTAGAGAAAGGAAAGACCCAAAATACAAGATCACACCTTTCCTAAAAATATTCAGTATCCAGAGAAAAATGCCCGGTGTCAACGGCGCATGCGCATTACCCATGGATCATTTCGGGTAATCTTAGGCGATCCCCTAACTCGGCCAAAAAAATTAGACAGTTAACTTCCGGTTATTGAATCGTGTGCAGTATTGTTAAGTCCAAGAATTTGAACTTACAGAAAATCTCGATTACGGTGTCGGTATTTAACTGCAGTATTGGTATCAGTAATGGTCAGCACACACTGTTCCTTCCAACATGAGTCTTAGTAACTTCGGACAACGAAAAGTAGGTTACAATGAACCTGGCTAAAAGACCAGTCTCACTTTCACATCCGGTCTCATTTGAGATTGAGATTGAGATTTATCAAGTTTGTTTTGATTTCTTCGGCGGTAAAGATGTAATTACGTCCGTTTAATGTAATTAGTATAACTGCCTGAGAATGATTCGAAAGTGAACGTTGTACAGATAAGGAATATTAAAATTATATTTTCACGGCGAAAATAGTTTGGAATTGCGCCAAGCAAACAAACTAGATGAAAGTTAATTTTGAAATTATGAAATTTTTAATTATTATGTGAGAGAATGAGAGTTTTTGTTTACAGTTATGTGTCGGATTAGAGATGTGTGGACTTCATTTATGTGTGAATGACATTTCTTAAACCTTAAATTGTAGTGTGGTGATGTTCGCAGATCCACTAAATCAGGATAAATTAAAAGCAGAATGCTGAGTCTTCATGTTTAATAATTTAAAAAAATTAAAGGGTTTGTTTTGTGTTACTCCTGTATACATGTGTGTGGGCACCGTCCCTCAATACCAGGGACGGTGGTGTGGGGCATGTTTGTTCACAGGGAACCCAGGAACTATGATTAACTGTACGCACTCCCTATGAGCGGGGGTGGGTGGTGGTGGGGGGTTGTATCGGCTAGTATCTAGTGTAAGAAATAGACAAGAGATAAAGGCTCCAGCGCGCTCATATTTTTTAAACTGAAAAAAAACAGACGAACAGAATAAAAAATAAAATCTATAAAAAAAACCAGGTTGAAAAATATTAGTTGCTCTTTCAAATTTTGTCAAAGCCTTACCTATATTTTACCTATATCTGCAGGATAAATCAACAAAACTACACAAATTGACGCACAGCACAGTTTTAGGCGAAGAACCAATCACAAGACTGGTTATGAACTAGTTGAGCAAGGCTAACCGAATTATAACCTCGATGTGGTTTGTAACCAGTCTTAGGATTGGTTGTTGACAAATGCTGAACAGGCCACACCTCCAACTGTGCCTTGCGTTTGAGCTCGCTGGAGCCTTTATCCCTTGTCTATTTCTTA